GAATCGGGAATGAGCACCGCCATCTCTGGAGGTTCTGCAGCCTCAGCTGCCACGTCTGGAGAATCTGGAGCAGGCACTGCCATTTCTGGAGGTTCTGCAGCCTCAGCCGCCACCTCTGGCAATTCTTCCGCGGACGTCGCTGGCTCTGGAACTTCGGTGGTAGTGAACGCAGCCCATACACACCAGAGAGCAATCCCCCATATGGGAAATGCAGCAGACAAGGGGATTACTTCTGGGGCAAAAGGGTTTGAGAGCGCTGGTTTAGGGATACCAGCAGCACGTGCTGACACCAGCGGTGGGTCCTCCACGCTGGATGCCAGTCTGGGATACTGAAGAACATACTTTCAGGATCTGGGTGCGATAGACAGGAAGTGACAGGAATCTGAGCGAACAGCTGAGACGGGACTTGACACTGGACGATCAGCTGTGACGTGACTTGACACTGGATGATCAGCTGTGACGTGACTTGACACTGGACGATCAGCTGTGACGTGATTTGACTCTGGACGATCAGCTGTGACGTGATTTGACTCTGGACGATCAGCTGTGACGTGACGAGACTCTGGACAATCAGCTGTGACGAGACACTGAACGATCAGCTGTGACGTGACGAGACTCTGGAAGATCAGACGTGAAGTGACGAGATTCTGGAAGATCAGCTGAGACGTGACGAGACTCTGAAAGATCAGCTGAAACGTGGCGTGATTCTGGACGTGACTCCGAACGAACAGATGTAACTTGACTTGACTCATGAAGAGCAGCTGAGACATGACGGGGTGTTGTTGTGGCCGCCATTTTGTGAGCGCAAAATGGTGCGTCCGCCATCTCAGTCACAGACGTGGTGTCGCATTCCTCTTCTGCGACATCCACAGTGAATGAAGAGCCAACACACAACAAAGCATAGTCCATAAACTGACAGAGTGATGAACGCGGACCCTCGCGTCTAAGCTTAGGCTTCAGTGGTTGATTAATGCCTTCGCAAAAAAACTCTATCAACTCGCAGTCAGGTAAATCAGAGTAATAGGCAATGGCTAGATACTCTTGAATATAGTCCTCAAGCGATCACATGCCCTGCTCGAGGGCTAATAACAGTCTTGCAATGTCCATACCTGGCCAATGTTCATCCGAAAAGCTGCTGGATCCTTGTGTGGCTGAGTATTCTGTAACGGGGCGAACGAGACATGAGATGTGCGGATCCAAATGCAAAGCTTTATTCAGAGACATGATATGAAACAGGCAGGGTCAAACAATGGCAAACAGGTATATTGAGGGCAAGACGAAAGAGTAATCCAAACCGGGCGTGAGTCAGTCGACAGCGAACGTTATCCAGAGGGCTTGACAAGAGGGGAAATCCATATATACTGGCGTGGGTAAAACGATGGCAAACATAATCCAGAGGGCGAGGCAAACGGGTAATCCAAAAAACATGCAATAATCCAGGCAGGAGCGAACAGAGTCCGAAACGGCAAGACAAAGAGATAATCCAAGGCAGGCGATAATTCCAGGACAGGCAGCTGACAGACAGGACGAGATAAACAGACTGGAATCAAGACACGGGTATAACAAGACTAAAGAAAACTAGATTCAGAAAGATTCAGTAAAGTGCTACCACTTGGAGAGTGATAAACGCAAACAATACTCGGCTGTTTGAGAAGGATCTGAGTGGGTGTAATATAGTGTGTGTGTGATTGACTGCAGGTGAGTCCAATCAGTGCAATGTAACATGGGAAATGTAGTCCAGGGTGACGTGTAACAGTCTGTGTGGTGTGAAAGTCAATATAATGAAAGGGTGACCTCTGGTGGCAATCGGACGGAAGGCCACGGACCGGATTCGTGACATATACCTAAAATTAGCAAGATTATATTTAGTTATTTGTAATACATTCTTTGCTTGTTTTTTGATGGAGAGTCGAATCGAGGGTAATACCAAGATATTTAACATAAGAGACTACCTGAATGATCTTTCCAGACACATACATTGTAGGATCACAGTCAGTTACAGAGTGCATCTTTGTGAAAAACATACAAACTGTCTTCTTTACATTTAAGAACCAGATGTGAATCATTAAGCCATTTGTTTACATTTATCATTATTGCACTAAGTTTAGAAGCTGCTTGTTCTTTGGTTTTTGCATGGACATAAATTACTGTATCATCTACGTACATCTGAACATCACAACCTGTACATACAGAGGGTAAATCATTTATATATAAGCTGAAAAGCAGATGCCCCAGGATGGATCCCTGAGGCTCACCCATTTTATTGAACAGAAAGGGTGAAGTTTTTCTACCCACCCTAACACACTGAACCATTCCATTTTTAACTTGATCACTAAGTTTAGAAGCTGCTTGTTCTTTGCTTTTTGCATGGACATAAATTACTGTATCATCTGCGTACATCTGAACATCACAACCTGTACATACAGAGGGTAAATCATTTATATATAAGCTGAAAAGCAGATGCCCCAGGATGGATCCCTGAGGCTCACCCATTTTATTGAACAGAAAGGGTGAAGTTTTTCTACCCACCCTAACACACTGAACCATTCCATTTTTAACTTGATAGTTTCTAAAAGAAAGCAATTTGCTGTCGAAATCCAAATTGCATTGGGTGCAGTGTGTAAGGGCTACTATTAAGATGAGTTGGCTGACTTCCAGTCCTTTGGAAACTTCCCTTCTTTAATAGAGGCATTAATTAACTTTGTTATTTGTCCAGTAAATAAATCTGCATGCCTTTTAAGAAAGATAGAATCTAATCCAAATATATCTTTAGACTTGGAGGTTTTAAGAGAGTTCAGAAATGTATTAACTTTAGATTCGGAAACCTCCATTAGAGACAGGGCAGGTTGAGAGATGTCTATCTTTGGTGTAACCGAAATTCCAGTATAATTAATAGGCACTGTCATCTTTACAGAATTCACAAAATAAGAATTAAGAGTTGCCGTTTATATTCTATTAGTATACTACTCTTACTATTATTAGCATATCTTTTTATGGCAGAAATAGCACTGAAGGAATATTTTGAATTATTATTTTCAATAATTTACATCAAAGACACCGTGTGATTTGCCACCACCAACTGGCTTATATAGATTCATTTTTGAAGTATCATTTCATAGTTCTATATTCAGTATTTTTTATATTTAAACGTGGATCTCCTAACATTATTCATGCAGTTGTAATTGCAGTGTAAATGCATTCATGGCATCTCTGAGCTGCATTAAACAGACTGTATAAATCCACCTAAAAGCCACTTCTGCTGTGCAAAGGTGGATGTTGTTATCAATTTAGTTTGATTGGTTTTCGCCCTGTAGTTTCTTATATTCAAACTGCATTTATTGAGTAAATGTAAGAATTTACAAGAAAGATGACACATCATTTCTAAGATGCCCCTGGAAATCAGTTTAAGGTGGTAAATATCGCTCCTTAATGGAAAGTTCATTTCTGTCACTGGTTTAGGATTTTTTTTTATTATCCTGGATTCACTGAATCCTGTGCAAATTGTGTGACCCGCGTGTAATCTTGTGGTTTCTGTCAGCTCTTGATGTTGTGCTGTTCTCACTCAGGTCCTGTACAGGCAGGAGGGGCAGCCCAACGGCGTGCTGTACACCACAGCGAAGCAGTCCATCGATCTGCCCATGAAGAAGGGCGATTATTTGGTGGAGGTGCGCGCACACAGTGAGGGAGGAGACGGAGCCGTCGCACAAGTGCGCATCGCAGGTAAAACCACATATACATTAGTGCATAAGGACATTACAGTCCATTTCGGAGATTTTGGAGATGCTTTTATACAAAGGTCACTTACAAATAAGGAAACTTGTCATTATATTTCTATGCATTACACAGCATTTGGCAAATTATTTAATCCAAAGCAAATCACACTGTTTTCAAGATAAGCATTCAATCAGTGCAAATGCTGCTCACATGAAGCAGATGAGTGATGAACTCATGAACTGAATGACCAGCAGATGGAGCCGTTAATCAGAAAACACACAGATGATTTAGTGTGAATGAACATAATCCTGATCAGACTCAGACTCAACTTTATTCCTGATAATCAGGATAATAATCTTGATTGAAGATAAAATACAAGTAAACATGTGATCATGCATAATGAAGATACCAAAAAAAGTAGTTGATAGTTTGTAATGCAACTCCATCAAACTGAGAATCACAAGAGTATCATAATAATTACATGTAGATTAGATTGTAGGTTCAGTTCTGAATGAACATAATCCTGATGGAACATAAATACATAAAATAGCAAAAAAGTAGATGAGAGTTTAATTCAAAGTAATGCAACTAAATCAAACTGAGAAACATGACTATCATCATATTTACATTTAGATTAGATTAGATGTTATTGTCCTTTTTGTATTTTTCTTGGCAGTGATACACAAATAACATATAAACAATGACATGGCAATAAAAAATAGAAATAAAGTTAATAAAATATAAATTAAAAACAGACTTCCAAACACAATATTCTACTAGACAAATTTATAGTTATTAATTTTGCAGATGCTTCAAAGTAACCTACAAACGAGGCAAATCATAAGCAGTTTGATGGGATATTTAGGGGTCAATCTACTCTTGTACTCATTAGTTTTCTTATTATTTCTGCTATTGAGTCCCTATGCAGCCAATAGAACCGCTTGCAGGAAAGTTATGAAATTTGGCACACGGATAGAGGACCGCCTCAACATTAACCACATCAAATTTGGAGTCTCTAACTCAAACGCTGTAGCGCCACCAATAGCTCAAAGTTGCACTCATGTTTATGCTAATAACTTCTGAACGATAAGGGCTAAACACTCTTCTTTTTCTAACACATCCTAGACAGTTCATCTGATTTTTCACCAAAATTGGCTCAGATTGTCTTCAGACCTTGCTGGAAATGAGTTATTAAAAGATTTTCTCGTTCTTTTTCATCTCGTATAGCGCGCATCAACACATTTGGCTAAGAACACGCCGAAATGGATGTGAGGCTATATCTCAGCAACACTTTATCATATTCAGACCAAACTTGGTACGTGTTATAACAGCCAAGACCTGACGATCCATGAGCCGTTTCAGCACAGTGCCACCTACCGGTCAAGATATATGAATAATTGACATTTTTACCTATAACTTCTGAACAGTTTAGCCAAAACGAATAAGTTTGGTCTCTTTTGATTAAGAGCAATGACAAAAACACACAAGTCAAGTCACCTTCATAGTGCTTTATACAAAGACAATAGGGCATCATCCAGCTTAATTCAGTTCAAGTTTTGTTCTCAGCTAACGGTCTCAGTCAGTGCGGTCATGTCGATAAATTACATAAAGTTAAGAGTCTTTCAGATCCAAACTAAGCAAGCCAAAAAGCAAGGAACACAATAAAGAATGACTAAAATGAAAGTGAAATATATTACTAAAGCCACTAAAAGTGTGTCAGTGAGTAAAATAAGAGAGCTTTGTGATGTTTGTGTGTGTGTGTTTGTGCAGGTGCAGCCATTCTGGCATCTCCATCTCTTGGCTTCTTCTGGCTTCTCCTCACGGTTCTGTTGAGTTTGATTCTCTGAATGTAGTTTCATCCTGATTCAATGAAGCTAAACTCTCACAGGATGAAACCCACCAATATTCAGAGTCCACACGGCTCTGGAGGACAAAAGACTGGAGATTCAGGACAGAGCGTGTGTTTAATGTCTGAACGGTTCAATATGCCTTACAACATCTCACACTCTGATCTCTTAATGAGCGCTGATTGGTCCAGACAGAGCGGAAACAGGAAGTGCTGCTGTGAGACTTCCTGTGTGTTTTGGTGACAGATCAGCGTCTCATGTTTGTCTTTGTCATTGTCAGATCAGTGGCTTTCTCTTATTTCTGTGGACAGATACAGTCAAAGCAAACCAACAATTCACATTCAACTCCATTCAGCATCCATTCACTTTTAGAGGATTATTATATATGCAATAATTTATAAGATATTCATCTATTCAAGATTTTTAGATTTAGATTAGTTTTTAAATTAGGATATAATTTTAAAATCTGTCTTGGGTTCAGGTGAGGAACATCAGCGGCTGAATGAAAATGGACGTTTGTGTTTGAGTTTGTGTTCGTTTACGAGCTTCAGTCTCAGAAATGTTATGAAATATGATCAGCTGAGGTAGATGAACAAATACTGCAAATGCATTTGTGTTTTAGAGAAGCAACAGTGTGATTTAATGTGATTTCACACTGAACACCTCCTAGTGAACACCAGTGCTGGGTAGTAACTGATTACATGTAATCTGGATTACGTAATCAGATTCCAAAAATGCAGTACTTCGAAATATAATTATATTACATTGTAAAATGCTCGTAATCAGATTACAGTTACATTTTTATGGATTACATGATTACAAATTATTCACACAATAGCATTAAAGTATTTATAGTTTAGTTATTCTCATGTACGAGATCAATAATTACACAAGTTACTAAACACTGCCGATGTATAGCTGACAGAAATATTTCAAACCTGGAAGACTTTGTCCTTGTCATTGCTGTTTTCACATTTATTCGTTTTTAACCTCTCTGACCTAAAATATTTACTTAAAGTCCCCCCTGAGATTTACAGTTAATATTTCAAGTAATTTAATAACATATTTGCATGTTCTCTGATGTCGGTTAATGGTCATATATTTTATTTATTTTCCCCATTTAAATCTATAAACAAGTTAGGTCAAAAGTAATCTAAAAGTAATGCAAAAGTAGTCCGAATACATTGCCTGAAATGAGTAATCTAGATTACATTACTGACTACAGTTTTCATCATGTAATTTGTAATCAGTAACAGACAACAGTTTGTAAGTAATCTAGCCAGCACTGGTGAACACAGATTCATTGAGTTATAATGCATCAGATTCAGTTATCTGGTAAAAGTTTCATAAATATTAATTACGTTCATTAATAACCACATAACAAAAGCAGAATCATGATCGCACTGATTCTTGAGCACAAAACCTCTTTTGTTTTGACTGTATCATTCAGATCTGTGTGCCATTGGCAGGTGATTTGTGATGAATGCCATTTAACGTTGTTTTATTTTCATAATAACATTTGCTACAGTCGCTAACTTTAAATGATGATTGAACATTTCAGTCTGTTTATATTCACACAGTTTCATCTATTGGTGCAAAAATAATTTCTGTCAGTTTCATACTGGAGTGTTTGCTCAAATATATGAGTTTACAATCTGTTAACTCATGCGTCTGTATGTCACGTGCTCCTTTATAAACAGATAATATGATTTGCCATTCATCTGGTGATCTGGATATTTTGTTTTATTGATCAGGATTTAAAGGTTTGACTCGTCTTTGAGAAACTCCGTCTTAAACATCATCAGGATCAGATTGTTTGTAATGAAGCAGAGCTGTGAATTCATGTGATTTCATGTGTTTGAGCTGAAGTTTCTCCTCATTTAATCCTCCACTAAGTGCTTTTGCTCCTGATGTTCGTCTGCGTGAGAGAGTTTTGCCAAATGCATGGATGCCTTGAGCTTTAGCGGCCTGCAGTTATTCAGAGGCCAGATGCATGATGGGATTGAATGGACTGATCGTCATACTCACTGGTTCAGTTCAACGACAGGTCAGCCTCTTTAACTAGATTGTGTAGATAAAGACTAACCTGTCAGTTATTACCTGCTTCATTCAATTCAGTCTTCAATTAAACTTTATAGAGACCAAACAAACATGTCTGCTGTGTGTTTCTCGCTTCAGTCTTACCTTCACATCCTCTTCCTTATCATCTTTATGTTTCCAGCATTCGGTCTAGATTAAACATTTTCAAACATTTCGCATTAGTAACCCAACCTGGAGTAAAAGTGTATGCGATGAATAACAGAGCAAATTGGACCTCACTCATACATGATTTTCCAAATAAAACTACAAACAGAGGCTTACTGTCTCATCTATGTGAAAGAGAGTGAGATTAAATATATTTGCTGAAATATGGACATCACTATTGAAAACATTTAATGAACAATTTGTGTGTAGAAGTTAAGAAACGAACGTTTGATCTGCTGTAGAAGCTACAAAATACTATAGAAATTAAGTTTCAGTATCCATTTCATTCAAAGTCAAAGCAAAAGCTAAAACTACAAATACAGTCAGATGTGTAGATTCCAGCAGGAGGATTCAGCACATTTCTCCTGTCAGTAACAGTCAATGTTGTTTACAAAATGAATCAAAAGTGCCTCTCAACAATTATCAACAATAATGCTGTGGTCAATAAAACAAAATGCTTTTAAATTAATATGAACAAATGTTGGAAAATTCCTGTGACATATCTGTAATATATTTTGATAGGAGGCGGAATTAGGTGAGAGGATTGACAGACACACACTCTGCATGCTCACTTGTTTACTGAGTGCTCAAACACATATGGAGAACTCACATACAGTACATACAGATGGGGATTGTCTTAACATACCAGACAGTCAGCACATTACACTCCTTCCCCTTTAGTCAAGTCAAGTCACCTTTATTTATATAGCACTTTTAACAATACAGATTGTGTCAAAGCAACTGTACAGCATTAATTATTAAAATAGTGTGTCAATAATGCAAAGTGACAATAGTAAACACTCAATTTTCAGTTAAAGGCAGTTCATCATTGAATTCAGTGATGTCATCATCCAGCTCAGTTCAGTACCTTGGGAGAAACCAGGCTCAGTCGGGGGGCCAGTTCTCCTCTG